CACGTGTCCAGCCCTGCTCTCTGGCTCTCTGGCTCTATGGTTATTCGGCTCTCTGGCTTCTTGGCTCTCTGGCTCTCTGGCTTCTTGGCTCTCTGGCTCTCTGGATCTCTGGCTCTCTGGCTCTCTGGCTCTCTGGCTCTCTGGCTCTCTGGCTCTCTGGCTCTCTGGCTTTCTGGCTGCCTGGCTCTCTAGCTCTATGGTTATTTGGCTCTCTGGTTTTCTGGCTTCCTGGCTCTCTGGCTCTCTGGCTTACTGGCTTACTGGCTTCCTGCATGGCTCTCTGGCTCTCTGGCTTCCTGACTTCCTGGCTCTCTAGCTCTATGGTTATTTGGCTCTCTGGCTTACTGGCTCTCTGGCTCTCTGGCTTCCTGACTTCCTGGCTCTCTAGCTCTATGGTTATTTGGCTCTCTGGCTTACTGGCTCTCTGGCTCTCTGGCTTACTGGCTTCCTGCATGGCTCTCTGGCTCTCTGGGACTCTGGGTGTCTGCCGTTCAGACTGGGGCTGAGCTGAAGGGAGAGTTGTGGTTGATGGTTGTGGTTGTTTCAGAGCCGCACCACATGCATGTTTATGAGCTGACTCGGCAGAAAATCTCATTTCTCCCAGTGGCGGCTGTGTGGAATTATGCCTCCCTCTCTCACACACAAGACCATCCCCCCCACCTCCTCGCTCTCCCCCGCGACTACAGCATGACTTCTGCACACACCCAGCATGTACCAATGTCATTGCTAGGCAACCAACAGCTGTTGCTTAGCAATCCATTAATGAGGACAGATATTAGACAGTAAGAAAACAGCAGTCACCTGCTGCCGCTGTAGAAGGGTGTGTATATGTGTGTGTTTGTGCGTGTGTGTGTGTGCGTTTTCGATGAGAACACATTTCCTACAACATGCATGACACTCCCATCACATTTGTCTTGCAGCCACATCACCATAATTTTGATTAATTTCTTTCATGATTCATTTTTCTCGTGCCATTAAAAGTACCTAAAGTGCTTTTTTCCTCTGAGTGTTCATACTTCTTTGCGAGAGCCTCATTAACCAGACTGACCAATATAAGTGCGCAAAGAGAAAATAGTGAGACGTCACTTCTCCAATAGAGCATATCAAGAAGGAGATCACATTAAAGATTCACAATATTCTGCAACATGCAGACTTGACATTTCTTTGAAAGTTCTTAAAATACTAGTTTATGCTCCCACAAAAATGCTGTATTAGGTTGATATGACATTAAATCGTGTAGAGTAAGTAGTCATGTTGTCAACACTTGAACATTAACTTATTACTATAAACCTGAATGCACTGTTGATATTTCCAAGTGAACTAACATGAGCATGTTGCAATTTGAAAACTATTTTCCAGAATGGTTTTAAGCTTCACCTCATCTTCACCCGTTTAATATCAGGGTCCTGTTCAAATGTTCCACTAGTAGTTCTTTATGAGACCAGGCTGCGGTTTTGGCCTGGAGCTGCTGAAGACAACTGTGAACGCTTTAGACAAACAAGAGTGGGATTAGGTCTTCCGCTCTTGTAACATACTTCAGGGAAAATAGCGCACATTGTGCACTCATTGTTGCAGTTTTATATGGCACCATGCTGCTATTGTCTAACTGTTCAGTCCTGTATGGAGGAAATAGTTAGTATATACTTTTTGCATCGGTTTTGGGGCACAACTGTGGTTTCAGATCAGAATACTCTGATCTAAAAGTATTCTTACATGTTTTCTTATTGTTTATAGCCATTCCCTGTCAGCTTCTCCATCATGTTCTGTGACTAGTTTGTGAAGAAAGGTGACTGGAACTTGACTGATACTTGCATAAATATTTATATATAAATGCATATGATCTCTGCTTTGTGCACAATTAGGTTTAATGGAATAATAGATGTATGAAAGACTTGTTATAAAGATCTCAAACGCAATTTTGATACTTAGGAATAGACCTGACATAAATGTGACACCATGAGGATAGTGAGGTGCTATTTTTGAGATGTAGATAAGGCTTGTTTTGATGCCACAAAGTGTTTTTCTGTTTTTATATGAAGTTCAACATTGTAAGCAGTAGAGACAGGGAGCTGCTGGTATCCAAGCTATTCCCAGTTGTCATGGGGGGTTCAAACATGCAAAAAGAAGAAACATAATCATACACTCCCTTGATTGGAATAAACAGCCTTTATTAGAGTCACCACTTGTTCAGAATATTCTTTTAATTGCCCAGGAAGTATAAAATGTCCTAATGTCTTATTGTCCTATTGTATTGTTTTTTTTAAACTTTGCTCAATGGAGAATTAAATCATGATACTAGTTTTAGTCGATCACTATCTGATTTTGTATACTTTTGGCAACCCTAGTTATAAAAATTATATTTTTTGTTTTGTTTCTTACAGAAGAGTTCAGCCATGTTCCGGAACAGTTTGAAGATGCTCCTGGGGGGCAGGGGCCGCAAGAGCACAACCACGGGTGAGTTTGTTAGAGTCAAAAAAAACATGTACTCTTAGTGCTCCAAATCAAACCAACTTTCATTTTCATACACTTCCTGCCTGTGACTCATGTAGCTCCTAAGCACTGTTTACTGATGCAGACCACCTGCTGGGGTTCAGCAAGAAACTGTACCAAATACTGTGCATCACATATCTGCCTTCATTTAAAAAAAAAAAAGTGGTGCCGTTATATTATATATATATGTCAGGGATGAAGCAGACAGAGACGGATTGTGGTGCGCCAAACTCTGGAAGTTTATTTAAGTTTCTCTCAAGTTCCAGTGGTTTCCTTTGTTTCTTTCTCCCAGACAGAATAAAGTCAGTACACAGTTTATATAGTCATTGTCACGTCACACATGGAAAGACAAACGTGTCACAAAGAGACAGTCACATCATAGTCAAAATAATCAGAGTCCTTGTACAGTCCTGCACGTAGGCCATATTGCTATCTAATACTAACATATATATAAGGATATCCGCTAAAAATTTCACCTAATAAACTGGCAACCCAATCAAAGCCTCATTCTGCACTCATTTGGGATAATCTGTAAACATGAACATCGTAAACTTAAAATTATAGGCATCGTGTCCGTTGAATTTTTAATTAAGAACAGAATGACCACTTTGAGCTTTAGTTGCAAAAAGTTCAAATATGATTTGTTCGTGGGACCTGTGATCTGGGGACACAAATAACAGAATTAAATCAAAAATATTTAAGGAACAGTATGTATTAAAATAAATACAGTTCCTTTTAATACTGCACATTCTTAACAAAACTGTTCCCATGTTCAGTTGATTAGGTTTGATATATAAGTGTTGTACAGATCTTCTAAATGATTCTGAATAGTAAGTTCATGTGAAAATATTTGCATACATACATATTGAAAATGTTTTTTTTCCTTTGACATCATTTTCAGGCGGCAATAGCATTGAGCCAGATGGATCGGACGCCAGAATCATGGAGGGATTCACTCGGTCACTGCCATCTTCTCCTCTCCTGAATCTTCGGCTGGCCAAGAGACCAGGTAGGAGGAGCTCTGACCATGTAACACGATACACAAACAAACAGAGGGATGTAGAAGTACTTCGAGCCCAACAGAGAGACAATGCAAACTGTCAGTATACACAGGCAGTACCACATTCTCAGCTACAGCTATGACATCCAATGATTGTTCCTTGGTTCAGTTTAAGTGCTCTCTACTCATTTGATCATCCATATGGCAGACCAGGAGATACACCTATGTAACCTAAGCCGATGGTAACTTTGCAGCTCCTCCTCTTCCTCATCCCCAGGGCTGAGTTGACACACTTCTCCTAAACATTAACATGTGCCGTCTCTCCCTGGGTCTCCCCTGTCGTTTCCTCTGTCAAAACACATGCCGTAATGTGGGGCACGGACCTTCAAAACCTCCTCATGATAACGGAATCAAAACAGCTGATAAAAACAAGCAAGCTTGTTAATATACTGTTAATTTTTGGGCTTGGAACGTCTCTGTTTTGAATGAGCTTCTGTACTACTGTGTAACTTTGATATTTAAGGGTGCTGGTTCATTTGGTTCACCGGTCGGCTACTCTATTTTGGAACAGATGTGTGACCTTGTGAGGTTTGTTGCATTTGAAGAACTTGGTTGAGTTGATCAATAAGTAGGAACGTGCCCTTAGATTACTATTGTTGTACTCTAATCTATAATACTATACTATAATATTGGTCTATCTCTGTTCTGACCATTGTTTACTCACACTGTAATTGTATGGTTTGGGAAAGTTCCGGCAAATAAGTACAACCACTACCCGAATTGGGGGCTGGATTTTTTTGTCTGCTAATCTCATTTTAGTCCCCAGTTTCTAGGTAAACTTTTCCTCGAATGCCTGGACAGCGTAGCTCCTCCTGCAGCTCTGGCTCTGGCTGCTTGTGTGCGGGTGCAGTGGAGTCGGGTTGGAGGAGGGGACTTTTGATTTGCGGTGCAGTCAGACGAGGGAGGTCGCCTTTCAGCCCAGATATGGAGGTCGTGCTGTTGAGACAAAAACTTTCTGAATGCTCCGGACCTCTTTTTCTTGTCCTTTTGACCACCGTTGACGCCATGTTTGGAAAAAAAGACATGCCTTTGAGCCATGCACGTCAGTCTTCTTTCTTCATTTGATAAAGGATTAGTTGTCGGTGAAGAAGGAATTTTGGCTGCATCATCTGTTTGCCGTGAGTTGTGGTTTTAATGGTTTTGCCAGTGAGACCAAAACAACACAGCAGTTACTTGTTTTGTCAAGTTATAGGCTGTAGCTTCCAATGTAACTGATCTGGTGTTTTTGCCTTTTTCTCAAATTTTCCTTTGTTTATCACAAACCTGACCTCATAATTGACTTTTCCCTATATTTTGCACCACTCAAAGAAGGAGACACTACGGACCAAAAGTTGTTTGGACAAATACTTGAAGTAAAATAAGCAAAATAAGTCTGCATTCAATGAGTTCTGCTTGACTCCGCCTCCTCTGCAAAAACAACTTATTTTATATTGGTTGCTAGCTTGCCAAAATGGACTGCACCGCAACCATTTTGAAGGCTTGCGCTCGCTCCAGGATTAAGCTGTGTCGCCCGGACTGTTCCACGAGGCGTCCGCGGAGACGAGAGGACACCTGCGGATGCTGCGCCGATGTGATGGCGGCGCACATAGTCGGCCATGTTTGTTCGCTCCTGCAATGCTTACTGTTCTACGTGTGCTGCTGTCTGTCACATGACGAAAGCCCAGATTTGCGCCGTGATTGGCTCGAATGCAGTAGCAATATGGCTGCAAGAGGAGGAAGACCGGAACAGGAAGGTGGGCTTGAAAACTGAATTGTTATTACAGGACAATGTCACGAGCCTGGGATTTATTTCGTATGTTCTGAAATAAAGGCAGTTAAAGGTATATAGGAGGATTTTCTACTTCCGGGGTGATCATCAAGAATGTTGGTCCTCCTAATTGTCAATCATTCTGGTGATACGTGCTCGTCAAAGTGGAGAAAATTTGGGAAAATCCTCCTATATACCGTTAGGGCCTATAGCAACTGAAAGCAGCTGCAAAACTGTAATATTAACTCCAGTCTTTAGGGGGCAGCGCAGGGGCAATATATGGAGGTATGTGCTATCTGAAGGCAGTTCAAATCATGATGCAGAGAGGGTCCGGTTTAGAGGCACAGTGTTTGGTGGATGTGCATCTATGCCCAGTCGAAGGTAGTGTATCTCCTGCTTTCCCACATAATCGCACTATGCAAGACCTATTTTGACATGTTTCTTGTGGCGAAATAACTCAAAGTTAAACCTCAAAGTTCAAGTTTTGTGGGATGTAGCTCCTATTTTAATGTATTGTCACTCTGTGTTTGACGTCACTGATTTTAACTTTTGTTTTAAGGTCTGACTTACACCGTTGTCATGGTTTCAAATGAATTCACCAACAACATGTGATCCGCCGGAGCATGGTGCCCCATTTTCATATTCAAATGAGTCAATACCCAATGAAAACAACGAAAGCTTGCAACTTGTGTGTGCTACCATGGCATGTTATACCTAATTTTAAAGCTAATTTATCCGAAAAGCAACCACAGTATGTATATTGCCCGAAACAATTAACCTAAATTTCATAAAAAAAACAAAATAATTCCCAGTTGCCCTTTTGTTCATCCCTGACTCAATCTCAAGAATATGGGTTTATAGAATATTCAAACCCATATTCAATAATAGTGATATTTTGTTAAAATGATAATGGTATCCATATTTCACTCTTCAAAATTAGTCTTTTCTCATCAATATCCGTGAAGGCATGATGTAATGAAAAAATCCTAAAAGCTTCCTAGCCTTTTAGCATTAGCATTTACCCCCAGTTTAGTTGCTGAATCAAACCCATCTGACTTGTTTGTACACTGAGTGATGAAATATTATTGGTTCACTATTGTTGATTTCCTGTCCACTGTGAAATAATAAGTACTTTGAAGAATTTACTAATGATAAAGTTTATCCAAAAAACACATTTTCTGTTCTATTATATAGCTGAATGAGCTTTAACTTATATTCACATCATATTCACAAACACATTGGTGCATTTAGGACAAAGTTTGAACCTATTTTACTTGGCTATGTAACAAAAAACAAACCCCAGACAAGGTTAGGCTAAACGAGGTGGATGGTAGGAGGTTATGCGTTTGTCTTGTCATTTATCGACCTTGACACAAACGTCAATGTATCGCTTTTGTGATCAATCAATTTAATAAGGTATGCCCTTAGAACTCGGAGGACATGGTCTTAGGTACATGAATATTTCAGTGAGCACAAACAGTTCAGTTATCTTAAGGTTGCAACAGCCCTCTATACCTATCAACTTCTTATGAACAAAAGGAAAATGAGAACAAAATAAGTAGAAAGATAGATGCTAGTTATAAAACTCTTCACTACAAAAATTCTGGGTTGAAACTCGAACAAACAATAATTAACATAAAGTTCTAAAACAAAGAAACAATAGAAGCAGCTATGATCCAAATGGAAGAGTCTGCTGGCTGTCTCGGATCCTTTCCACTTCATTTTTGTCCGACTAAAAACAGTCTGTGCACCCTGTCATTGCCTCACCACATGGCTGCATGTTTCTGTCTTACTTTTTGTTTTCCTGGTTTCACTCTGGGATGCTCCTGCTCCGGGCCGGCTCTGCCCGGGTCCATAGCTGTAATTAAAGAAACAGAGAATATGAGCTTTCATGCTGTGGCTGTGGCTTCTGTGTGCGTCTGAGCGCACCAGCATGTGTCTATACTTGGCATATTTAGGTCATGATAGTGAATACATGAATGTGGAGATCAATCAGAGTGCTGCTCCACTGGGCGCTTGTTACTGTGGCGTATGGAACTTCTTCCTACACTTTGTTCTAATTACGTATCGAATAGAACTGTTTTTGTGATTTTGCTTTACTTTCCCATGATAGAAAGGTAGGGCTTTGAGTTACCATGGTAACAGAGTACATGGGTGGGGTCTAAAGCTTATGAAGCTGGTGGCAGAAATAGTTCAATCAAAGTTGGTGATCAAAGCATTTCAACAAATTCGCTCCCGTTCTGGAATCTTTTATCATGCTCCGTGATTTTCATTGAATGACCGCTCTGGAACCTCACACTGGGATATTGTTTAATCCCACTGATGTTTCTAAACTTAGATGCCGAGCCATTTTGTGAGTTTTCTCATTGTCAAAAATCTATAGAGAGGCCAATAGATATCCAAACACTATCCAAAAGCTTGCCTGGTACATTGAAAAGTATATTTCCAGCGTATTACAGACATGTGGATTTCCAGGTGAAGAGGAGGAGTTGGGACCGCCACCATCGGTCGATGAGGCTGCGGATGCATTGATGACCAGACTGGGCTTCTTACTGGGGGACAAGATCGCTACTCAAGATTCCGCCCCTTCCCACCCCCAGGAGGACGGAAACCAGGTACAGCCGCAATAAGCACATATGAGAATGTATGATTTATTACCTTTTGACATGTTACTACAAAGAATCCCATTATAAATCTCCAGAATTAGCATATTTCTCTTTTCAAATGTAGCAGCATTGTAATTAACGGTGTGCAGAATGAGACATACTGGTGTTCCTGGTCCCTTATTGTGATTCTGTATTGATTTATCTGTTCCACTGTCTGCTGTCTTGTCCCCAGAGGATTTCTCCGTCCTCCAGTCTGGCCAGCAGCGGCACCTCCCCCTGCTCCACACTGCAGCCACCTGCTGGAGGAGAGACAAACAACAACAACAAGCATGCCCCGTTCAACTACGCCTCCGTCACCTCCCCCTCCTCCACACTGGACAGCAGGGACAGTGGCATTATAGGTGACATAGTTATTAACAAACTCATATTGTTTCACATTTTGGAAGGGGTGTAGTAATTAACCTCAATCTGATGAAGATGATTTTAAGAAACTAAATCCGAAATGTTTCTGCTGTAGCCACATTGACGAGCTACTCTGCCGAATCAGCTGTGGAGCGAGACGACAATGGCAAGTACCATGGGAATGGTTACCATGGCAGCAATCTCAACTTCTGGCAACAGGGCGGCGGGAGAGCGGTGGTGGCCTCTACGTCGGCGTCCAGCATGACGGCACCGAAAGGCGGGAACAACGGCTTCCTGTACAGACACGAAGACAACATGTCCGCCTCCACCTACAGCCTCAACAAGCTCCACCCAGACCGCTCCTCAAGTTCCACCCACTCCATCCCGCTCTACCTCATGCCCCGCCCCAACTCTGTGGCCGGTAAGATGTGACTGTGTGTGTGTGTGTGTGTGTGTGTGTGTGTGTGTGTGTGTGTGTGTGTGTGTGTGTGTGTGTGTGTGTGTGTGTGTGTCTGTGTCTCTGTTCTTTGGCCTGTACTGTTTCCTGTTAGGAAGGAAATGCATCGCACACTGTCACGTTGAGCCGGCTGCCAGTTCAAACCTTTGAGCCAAATCTCAGTCCCCTTATCCAACTCATTAATTAAAGCTGAGGTACCTAACTTTCAAAATGTTAAATGTGTTTCAAACCACAAATAAATAACTATTGTCATCTATCTACTCTTTTCTGGCTCTAAAACAGTTTGGTTGGTGGGTATTCACATGCATGATCTTAAACATTGGTTTCATGTAGTGCTTTTTTGAACACTTAGAGACGCTTCACGTTTCATATTAATTCACTCCATACACGGTGGTGATAAACTACTGTTGTAGCCACAGCTGCCTTGGGGCACACTGATAGATGAGTGGCAACCAGTATGTGCCATCGGCCCCTAGCCACCACCATACATGCAGGTGAAAGCCTCTACTGCATGAATATTGTGTCTTGTTGCCAGAAACTCAAAGAAACATTACATCACCATACTCTATGCAAGTCATTTTAGCATCTCATGTGTTTTAATGAGGAGCTGTAGTGGAGAAGCCTATGCATTTCAACCCCTGCAACAAGGCCACGGATAAAGCAGAAGAAAATAGATGGATGTATTTTAGTAATCACAGGGTTGGAGCGCAGTATAGTTCTGCATTTGTATTTATTTTGGTTGGAGTTATACATTATTCATACATAATTTTTCCCCAAATGGGTTATTGCTCATAGAATCTGGTGGTGATTCAGAGCCTGATGTGTTTCTCCCATAGACTGTATATATTAACGGACAGAGTCACGCCTATCTCCGGCCAAAAATTGTGCTCTACTGGAGCTATCCAAAATGGCCGCGAGTGGTCCCGCCCACAAGAGAATTGTGAAAAAACGCATCTGCGCATGCGTCAGCCGGCGCAAGCTCCATTCATTCGAACGAGAGACTTAAAAAATTCACAGCAAGTAAACTAGAGTGGACCAAAAATATTCACCCCCCTCAGCATTTTGGCCACTTTTGAGCCGGGACCCGCCCCCACTGGTTTCTCCATGCGACCGTTAAAGGTGCATTGCCGAATATTTCTGATTGGGTACTCTTGTTGTCATGGAGATGTAATTTCTATGCTTGGATTGTGAGTTGAATAATGTAGATACTAGAATTGTGTTTTTTGTTTTTTCAATTTTTATCTTGCTTCTTGAGTGTCACTGCAAACCTTAACAGAATGAGACACAGATTAGTGGTCAACTTCCATCACAACACCAAATATGCATTTCAAAGTACATTTTATTCTGATAGCATAGGATTAGAACTGCGAGTGTAAGATGCATGTGTAATTTGAGCGTTTACAGATGTCTCACTGGTATCTGTTTTTTTTTTTTATAAAACAGCTGCCTCATCTGTCACTGATATAATGCTGTTTTGTACACGCCAGACAAAGAGCTTTCATTTCAAAACAAGTTTCAACAGATCTATTATATTGGGTCTAGTTTTTATATGTCATCTTGCATCCATTTTTACTACTTCATTGGGTCCTACATATTTTACAACCCACTAACATAACTTGTAGTGTATAGTCTTGTTTTTCCTTCCCTTCTTTGTTGGCGCTTATAAAAAGTAAAAAATCACTCTGGAGGAAGGAAATGACATGTTACACGCAATTCACACAGACACAGGATACAAGGAAGTTATCCCACTTTCTCCGCATTTGGAGTGTACATGTGTGTTTTGGTGAGTTGTGGGACATCTGCCACTCCATTTCTTTATTCTAAAACTTTATATTTTTGTAAGAATATACATGTTTTTACTATAGCAATATTTATTCTGTTTTAAGGATTATAGTGGCTTAGATGACTGGAAGTTTCTCAAAAGAAAATAAGTAGAGGAGAGACTGTGCATTGTTGTATTTTAATGGGTTTTTAAGATTGCTTTTGGATGTGAGCGTAAATGTTATTCTTTGGACTGCGACAAAGTGTTTTGTTGTGATAGGTTGGGTGGAAAGATGCATTTAACCAACATGCTTTTTAGTAGTGAAAAAAGCCATATTTTACAGGAGTGAGAAATATTGAATATTGGCATTCTTTTTAGTTTTCCAATGGTGACAAATTAGAAAATTGCCCAATAGTTTATTTATTTCTGTATTTCAACATAAAACTGCCTACACATAACTGTTTATTAGCTGTTATTTTGTTTCTTATTTGTCCTTTTGCAAAGTGTCTTTGAGCGTCCAAAAACCACTATCTCACTGCTAATGTCCACAGGAGGCGTTACAGCACGTACACGTTGGTTATACGCGCAGCAGACGCATGTAAACCAATGGGGATATTTACACTACTAGTGTTATACGCGCGTATGACGGACGTATGACGCGAGGCTGCACCTAATTTAGGATGGATTTCTAATGTTGTGCGCGCAGCAACACATCTCCCAGTCAAAACACATGTGAAACATGATTTTTCTTGCGGCCCTTGGCTTTAGATCACATCTACACACACAATACAATTAACAGTCAATTATCAACATTATAACAAATAAAGGCTTATGTTATCTCACTTAAAGTATCAAGTAAATAGACTTTTGATCAATATTCTAATGCATCTGTAATATAGGGCTGTGTAGTGACCATACATGAGACAACATACAAACTTACAGTCAGAGTACTGACCTTTTAAACAACAAACAATTGAACTATGTAAAGAAATCCATTTAACTCACTCTAAAAACAGTTTTGTTCCATCACAAGTTTTCACATGAATGTATTTTGGACAGAAAAGTGAAAACAATGACCCCCCTCACTCAGCTTATCAGTTACAGGGCTCTGTTTTACATGTAATGATTATTTTTTCTCTCTTTTAGTATTATCAATTTAGTATTGACTTTTGAAAATGATAGAAGACATCATGTTGTGGTCTGATTTGTTCTCAACATTACTGTTACGTGACTCTTTCTGTTGGCACAAACAACATGTGTTTTTAATGAGAAAACAATTTGGCCCCAGCTTTAAGTTTCATCAAACTTATAAACAAGCCGTTTGTGGTCTGAGAATATGTCCAAGGAAGTCCTTCAGCGTCCCTACTATAAAAAACCTCTGTCATTGTCCTTTTACAGCTTGTTAAATTTTTAAAGCATTGAGCCGGATAAAGCTTGTTTTAGCTCTCGTTGTTTGCACGCTGCAAGGTCACTGCTTATCAAAATAGTCCAATGGGCCAAATCTAATCTTCTGATGCATGTGAAGGGACTATGGGGCATCCCAATCTCTGTGTATTGGTGTAAAGTAACCGGGTATACCTTTAGGCTTTGTGTTTATTTTAAATGTATATTTCTTTATCAGCCACCAGCACTGCCCACCTTGAAGATCTGGCTTATCTGGATGAGCAGCAGAGACACACCCCCTCTCGGACCTCCCTCAGAATGCCCAGGCAGAATTCTGGGAGTCGCAGTCAACAGGATCATAGAGGTCAGCACATAAACTTGGACTTGAGTAACCAGATTTGAACATACTTTTGTACAATAATGTCATTTCCTTTGTTTAGTGCGCTTTACTCCCTCGCTCAACCTCAAGCCCTTTAACTTCGAGATCCCGGGACTGACCGGTGATTGGTTGTTCACGGGCAGGGAGTGGCTTTTCCAGGAAGTAGATGCCTGTCTGCGCAGCTCTGACCCGGCATGTCGCGGCGTGGTGATCGTCGGTAATATGGGCTTCGGGAAAACTGCCATTATCGCACGACTCGTGGCTCTCAGCTGTCACGGCAACCGCATGTGGCCAACTCCTGCTAATAACCAGAGCATAGCAAAACGTAGGGGAAACCAACCATATCATGTGCGGAGGGATGTGTTGCAACGTTTTTCATTTGTTACGTTTACTTCAGATGCTGAGAATGCACAGTTTTCCCACAACTCGATGGGACGGAGTGAAGGACTCGATGAAGGCCGAGAGGGAAGCTGTCCGGGAACTCCAGAGATGAAGAGGAGACAGGAGGAAGCACTGAGGAGGCTCGCAGGGCAGGTCAGAGCTGCCATTGGCACTATTGCTAATATTAAAACACATTTAAGACTTTAGATCCATATTCATTCATGCAGAACTAGTTCATATCAGGACGAGTCATTGCTGTGATTGTAGAGTGATAGACTATGTTGGAATAATATTTATCCCTCAATAATGCGGGAAATATATGTTTCACAATGTCTGTGAATGCTTTTTCTTGATTCTTCTTAACGACTGTGTAATAGATTGCTCCGGTTAAGTTTGGTTTATTTTCATTTTTTGGCGTCATGCACCATTAAAAGTTCCGCACCTGCACAGGATTCTAAGACAGACAGACAGACAGAGAAAGAAGCTCATCAAAGAAAGTGTTCTCTCATGGTGATACCTTACATTTAACACACACTGAGCCAACTTCAACACATTTCATTTGAATAATGATCCCAAACAGAGACATTCAGAAGCAATGTCTCTGTCTCTGTCCCTTTGCTCGGTCATGATTTAAGGGACGCTAGTTTATAAAGTGCTTCTCGCGTTATTCAGCTTGTTGGGCGAAAACCTCAGGTACACACGCCGACGCTCTGCTCAGATTTAATGTGGCGAATGGCTCTGGACAAAAAACGACTTGAATTTTAATTTAGAACCTTTTGTCCGTTTGATGTGAAACGGACAAAAGGTTGAGTCCTGAAACCATATACAAAAATAGAGAACTACTAAAATCAATCACAGAAATAAATTAAAGGAAAATAAGTTAGAAAAATGTTGTTCAATTCTGCTACTTTGGTGCCTAAAGGGTTAATCTGCCTGTTGTATAAACAAAGAGGCACATAAAACAGTTATCAATACATGTTATGAATTCTACAAATTCCTTACAGAAAAAAGGATACATGATCATTCAGTATTCAATAGATATTTGGATAAATATTTTATTTTTACTTAATAATTAAAGCAACAAAACAGACAACCACAATAACACAAAAACAATACAACATAAAACAAAAACACAAAAGTACAACCCCAAAACAAAACAGACAAACACAAAGACATGACAAAAAAAAAGATAAATAAATTGGATAAATGTTAGGGTAGCAATATGTAAGATTTTCATGTCAAGTCATCATTAAATGGCCCTAATCTGTCAAAAGGCATGAATAAACCGTTCTCTTTCCGAATACTTCTTTAACTGATAACAGTAGTTCAGCCGAGATATTATAATTTCAAAATGAGTTTTACAGCCCCTAAATCTTGTTATTGTTTTCCTTTTGATGTCCCGCCCTCCACCGTTTTACCAATCAGAAAGTCTATGATCCGGGTTGCCAGAATCACTGCGTCGAGCTCATCTCAATGGTAAAGTAACATGTGGCAGCAGAACTAAAAAAGTCTCGTTATGTTTCTCAAATCATTTATGATAAAACGAGGATTTCTGACTCGCAACCTGAGTCAGGGAGAGTGGTAGAGGTTGCGGTGCCAGATTGTTGCATACCGCTCCTTTAAACAGGCTGAAAAATACTTATACTCATAATACATAGCTTGTTCAAAACTTTCTATTGAATGGTTTCATTTGCCGTGTTCTGGGTGCAGGTGGTGTCCTATCACTTCTGCCAGGCCGACAACTGCTACACCTGCCTGGTCCCCGAGTTTGTCCACAACATGGGCGCCATGCTCAGCTCCAGTCCTCAGCTGTCGTCATACAGAGAGCTGCTCCACCAGTCGCCGCAGCTACAGAGCATGCTCAGTCTGCGCTCCTGCATCCAAGACCCCAACGCTGCACTCATCAAGGGAATATTGGAACCACTCGACCTACTCTACAGAGGTACTTTTATTTTCCATGAGAATCAGGTTTTACAAAGACAACAAGGCCACGTCCGGACGAGTAATCAATTATACTATGAAGGACTTACCTAAATCCTGCTCCTCAACTACAAAGCCATCCACAACCTTGCTCCTCCATACCTGACTGACCTCCTCCATGTCTCCACACCTGCCCACACCCTCTGCTCCTCCTCCTTTTGTCAACTCCTGGTCGCTCCTGATCTCCGTGTCACCATGGGGAGTAGAGCCTTCAGCCGCTCTGCTCCCTCCGTAACACCCTCCGTAACACCGACTCACTCACACTCTTCAAATCCACTCTCAAATCTCATCTGTTTAGAAAAGCCTATTCACTATCACCATAAATACTCCCTTATCTGTTCAGGCTGCTTATGTATTTAACTGTTTTTATATGTTTTTAAAATGCACTTTTTTACTTGAGTTTCAAGAAAGGTGCCTAAAAAAATCAAATGTATTAATATTATTATTTTTATTATTATTATTAACTTGACTTTTTTTTTCAGAGAGGAAGATCCAGGCTGACCGGGCGGGCCTTATTGTCTTGATCGATGGGTTAAACGAAGCAGAGTTCCACCGTCCGGACTATGGCGACACCCTGGCTTCCTTCCTCAGTCGGAACATTCAGAGATTCCCTCCCTGGTTAAAGATCGTCACTACTGTCCGCACTGGCCAACAGGTACGCACTGAAACCAGCTCTAATGAATGGTTGTTTTTAAAGCGATGAAGATTTATTCTTTTACTCTGTATTGAACACGACTGCCAGCTTTGGAATTTGCCATTAAATTATAAAGCCGGGCTGCCTAATTTTCAAACCACAATACATGGAACTATGTGATGAAATCAAACTAGTTAATTCCTCGACTGCCATTGACGTATTTGTCTGAGACCCTCTATTGGACTGGGGATTAAAGGACAATAAAAATAGCTAGAAACAAACTTATTTTTGCTGATTAAAGTAGACAATCCAGTTCAGAATCTGGTTTCACATTTCACAAAGTCTTAGGAAATAATAGTCTGTGGGTCTTTAGAATCAGTGAAATAATCAAAAAACAGCTGGCAGTCAATGAGTTAATACCCCTAAAGCAGTTTGGTTCTATCACTAGTTTTTATTTGAAACTAGAGAACAACCTTCAGCCAATCAGCTCTTAGTCCAAAGTGTGAAATAGTGAATTCCTTACAAAATACTACATCAAGACTAAAAGATCCTTTATTCGTCCCACAGTGGGGAAATTTCAGTTTTCCATTTATAGAACAAAAGGAATAAGGAGCACACAGCAAAAGATACATAACTATATACAAAATTAAATCAACTAACATCTCTGTCTCAATCATAAAAGAGAAATACGTCAGCATAATAAAGAAGTATAAAATCTCTACCTTTGCCATAATAAGAAGTAAGTATAAAGTGTGTATTCTAGCGCAAGCAATTTAGAGTTGTATGCTTACATCTGTAAAAGTTAGACATGTTTTCTATGAAGATGAAGACAGATTGTTGTGGTCTGCTTTAACATTTCACAGACTAGACTTGTATATGTGTGATATATAATCTTATTGCTTGTCTGTTTCCTCAGGATATCACACAGTCTTTGCCTTTCCACTGCATCTCTCTGGACCGTATGGAGGAGAACAGTGCCATCGAGCAGGACCTGCAGGTAACACCTCCGCTCTCTAAGTAATCACAGTTTTCTACATGTGTTTATCTCCTGCTGAGGGACGCTGGTGCTCCCCCCCCAGGGCTACCTGATGCAGCGTATCCACAGCAGTGCAGAGATACAGAGCAACGTGTCCCTGGGTAACGGCCGTCTAGACAACACGGCCCTGAGCAAGCTCATCAGCCATCTCAAGAGTCTGAGTCGAGGCTCCTACCTGTACCTGAAGCTCACACTGGACCTGATCGAGGGGGGCTTTCTGGTGCTCAAGAGCTCCAGCTTCAAGGTGAGGAAGCAACACTACTAACTATATTGAAGTAACTAAAGAAGTGGAAGTACAGTTGCTGGACTATAAGACGCTACTTTTTTATGTCTTTTAACTCTGCGGCATATAGCGATGCAAACACATCAGGCCGCAGAGTTAAAAGACAAATTTATGATGTATTTTAATTTTGTTAGTGCTCCCCTGGGGTGCAGGAAGGGACAGCAGAAAGAGTAATACAATACAGGACCTATATTTATGTGATTAGGGCTATTATCAGGGCAACGTTTATGGACTTATTATTATTATTCTGACTTTTTATTATAAATGGGGCTCACATTTATTGTCAAGATAAATTGGATTTACCATGTAGCTTTACCAGACTGCTTTGCTCAATGCAAGTCAACAGTGCATTAAAACACTAAATCATGTTTTGTCTAATTACAACTGTATCTGCTTTGCTTTGTTCTATCTGCTGTTTGTTGAGTGTTGCGTTACAACGTGAAAACCTTCAGCTTAGATTCAAGTGCGGCCTATGTGTGGACAAAACCGACTTTATTTTATAGTGTAGCTGGTGTGGTTTGTCTATAGGTGCACTTAATATTCCAGAAAGTGTTTGATTCTGAAGTGCTCTTCACGCATGTCCACTCAAACATAGCAGGCGCAAAGATGAAAAACCTGAATGTAAAGTAGTTCTAATTTGACTCTTGTCTCTTGTCTTGAAGGTTGTCCCTGTGAGCCTGGCGGAGGTTTACTTGCTGCAGCTGAACATCAGATTCCCCACACAGTCGTCCTTCCAGAGAGTCCTGCCTCTGCTCAACATCACCGCGGCCTCGCTGCACCCTCTCACAGACCAGCAGGTACAGTGCTCCATTTATCCGTGTTGTTACGTCTTAATGACTGTCCTCCTCTGTCACAGCTGTTTGAGGCGGTGAATGCCAGTGCGGTGGAAGGGGGGACCTTGCCCTGGGCCGAGTTTTCTCAGAGACTGGAGCAGCTCTCTCCGTTCCTGATGTGGAGGAGTGATGGGAGCCGCATGCTGAAGCACGCCTCCTTCAGAGAGTGGCTGGTGTGGAGAGACGAGGGCCAGGACGACCGCTTTCTTTGCGACTCCCGGTGCGAACAGCAGCGCAAAGAAAATACATGAATTAAGCGAATGCTGTTTTCTGTATGAAATATTCATTTGCCAAACTACATATTGTAGAAAATGTAAATGTATTGACTCAATGCCACAATATTGACTCTGGTAAATCTTCTGAATTATTTATATTAGTTTGATAAAAGTCAAAAATTTAATTTCTGATTGTGAGAGAAATATTTAAAATATATATATGTATTTTTATTTAAACTTCTTGTTTTGTATGACTGGTTCTTATGTTGCATGTTATTCTAAACATATATATATTCTGTGCCCTACAGTTCTTGCTTTTAGTATAATGTGTATGTCTGTGTTCAGGAGTGGGCACACTCTGCTGGCCTTTTGGCTCTGCAGACAGGAGGGGAAACTAAACCGGCAGGAGACTCTAGAGCTGGGGCACCACATCCTGAAGGCCCACATCTATAAGGTATACTAATAGCCTCCTGCAGCTATATATCCACACAGCTTCACACAAGCGCCATAACTGTTCGTCATTATGCCTCCCCAGGGCCTCAGCAAGAAACTCGGGGTCTCCTCCTCAGTTCTCCAGGGGCTGTGGCTGTCCTACAGCACTGGCGGTCTGAGTCCGGCTCTGTCCTGTCTACGAAACCTCTACACGCCCAACATCAAGGTAATGTTTGATATCATATGATAAAACCCCAGAAAATGTGATGACAAAGCTGGTGTGACTGTGGCTGTGCAGGTGAGCCGGCTGCTGATAATGGCCGGAGCTGACGTGGACCATCGCTCAGACGTCCTGAACAACGCCCCTCTGCTGTGTGTGCACGCACATCTGGGACACAAGGACGCTGTGGCTCTGCTGCTGGACCATGGAGCACAGGTACTTCATCACAGGAAGTCCCATATATTGTGCTATTGGCTCAGAATGTGAAACTTAATTTATACTACTAATTATGTAAATGAATTTGTAATGTTTTATTTGACCAAAACACGTCTGTTCCTATGTATAGTGTAGTGTTAACTTATTATTGCCACTTTATAACAGCACACTTCACTTGTTACACATTCATGGTGTTTTTGTGTGACAATGTATGTCTGTTCCATTTTTCAGGTGGACGCTCAGTCTAACGACGGCCTGACCGCTCTGGGGTTTGCTGCTGCCGCTGGACATTTGGATATTGTGACGATGCTGAGTCAGCACAGAGCCAAGGTAGCTCTAACCCTAACCCTTTTCTATAGATTTCCCACAACTCTAACCTTTGCATTCACACCTTTTATTCTCAAGAGTAGTGAAGAGTATCATGAGAGAGGAAAACATCAAGACAGCAGTGGATCTGATAGCTTTTTACACATTATTTATAAAACTCTGATGCAACATTTCTGATGCAGTGGTGATGATTGTAGCGAACTTTAAATGACAGAAAACTCATGGCTCCAGTTAAAGTGTTGATAACCTTAGTTTGCACATTGCACTTGTAATGGGTCAGTTAGCGTCAGTACTCATGTTTTCCTCTTCAGGTGGGACATGTGGACAGTACAGGCCGGTGTGTTCTTGTCCTCGCTGCTCAGCGTGGACGCCAAGACGTGCTGCGTTTCCTCCTCACGTCCCCAGACTGGACCTGCACTACCTGCTGTGGCCAGCGGGCGGCGAGCCGGGGCCAGGCTCTACAGCAGGCTCTGATCGCAGCAGCCTGCATGGGACACATAGAGGTACAGACTCTGCAGCATTGGGGATAGTGTGCAGGATTTTGTCTTACAAGTGTTTGTGTGTAGACCGTGTTATTCCTCCTGGAGCTGCCAGAGGAGGAGGAGGACAGGCTGGACATCAATGCATGTGACAGTCTGTGGGGAGAGACAGGTGACGTGCTAACCTACTACTGCATTACAGTTAACGTACAGAGAATGTTAAGCTAAGTGTAAAGTATTGTCTTCAGCACTGACAGCTGCAGCGGGCAGTGGTAGGATGGCTGTCTGCAGACTCCTGCTGGATCAGGGAGCTGCTGTGGAGAAAAGCAACCGCCGAGGAGCCGCGCCTCTCTTCAGCAGTGTGAGGCGAGGACACTGGCAGGTGAGGCCCCAACACACTCCGAACAAACACACTCAAACACACAAGGTCACTGAGCACCACATGTTCTGTGTACAGGCGGTGCAGCTGCTGCTGAACCATGGAGCTGAGGTCAACACATTGGACTCTCAGGGTCGCACTGCCCTCATGACCGCAGCCTCAGAGGGACACATGTCCACCGCACAGCTGCTGCTCGACCACGGTACACTAACCTCACACAAACAGTCATCAAGCAGAGGAACATTATGAAGCAGCACAAATATTGCTGTTACTTGATATATTGCTCTGTTTCTCTGAGCAGGTGCGTCTCTGGAGCTGAGTGACCGCGAGGGGCTCACAGCTCTGAGCTGGGCCTGTCTCAAAGGTCAGCTGGCTCTGGTCCGAGAGCTGGTGGACAGAGGAGCGGACACTACTCACGCCGACCGGAGCGGACGCACACCTCTGGACCTCGCCGCTTTCTGTGGCGACCCTGAAGTGGTATATATGAATAATGTTTATCTTTTCAAATATTGTTTTTGAAAAATCATAATAGATTATTGGTTAAGTAATTATCGTTACCGTTGACGCCGGTTACGTGTTTCAGGGATTACCCAAAGTCCCTGAATCACAGAGCTGTTTCGCCCTCGTCCCTTTCTCTCCCTCACACAGGGGCATGTGTTCTGTGCATTCAGAGTCAAACCTCTGTATGAGTGTGTAAAGTTAGAATGGGCACTTCATTGCTTCATGTGCTGCTGTCCTCAGGTGCAGTACTTGGTGGAGCACGGAGCATCAGTGGAACATGTGGACTGCAGTGGGATGCGTCCTCTGGACCGAGCTGTTGGCTGCAGGAACACCTCCGCAGTTATTGCTCTGCTTAAAAAGGGAGCGCAAATAGGTACAAACCCAGACCACGACTAATACATAACTTGGAGAGAAGTCAATATTTCACCAATGATAATTTATCTGAATTAATGAATTAAAATAGTTGTTATAACTGCCTCAAATAACCTGGATGATTTTACAGTTAAGATTATTCCCTCTTTTAATTCTTTTTTCAGTGTAGGTGGAATGGTAGATGGTTTTATGCCATATAATAGAACTGAGTTACGACATACTGTAGCTCGTTAGGGGCTGATGAGTTCCATACAGTTAGATATATTATAACATGCCTATACTGTGCATGTGCCATCCACCAATACTAATGTGCAATACTGTAGTTACTGTAATAACGTGCAATGACCCTGTCCACTGACAATTCATTTTGGAATCTGTCCAAACCATTTTTCCGAATTCAACTATGATGTTATTGTTTTTTTTCATTCAGCAAAATTTTTAAGCAGCTCTTTGTTGTTTTCTATTTATCTTGTTTTGTGTGCACTCTTTATTCCTACTGTTTTCTAATGAGCGTTGCAATACTGAAATTTCCCAATTGTGGGTCGAATGAAGGCACTCTTACAGAACGTATCTCACATCTATATATTGTGATATAATAATAACATTAGAAATATGTTTAAGAACTCTTACGCTTGTGTGCAGGACCTGCCACCTGGGCCATGGCCACATCCAAGCCTGACATCTTGATGGTTCTTCTGGGAAAACTGATCCAAGAGGGCGACCGTCTGTACAAGGTAGTAGCTCCCAGTCGCTCTAATGTGATATTTCAGTTCATAGTCAGGTCTAAACCTAAACTTCTCTGTCCAGCAAGGGAAGGTGCGCGAGGCGGCCGTGTCATACCAGTCGGCGCTTCAGAAGTTTCCGGGCGACGAAGCGAAGACTTTTCGACAGCTCCGAGTGTCCGTGCTGCTCAACCTCTCACGGTGTCGCCGCAAACTCAACGTAAGGCTTTATCTTGTGTGAGATGCTTCCGTGTTCTCATTAAAACTGATGCCATAACTCAGTAAGGACTGTACGAGTTACACTATTGCATCTTGAATGGCTTTGAAACTGAAAAATTGAAATACGTATTCCAGAGCTGTTTACATACAGTATGTCAGACCTAAATTTGGAGAAGACTGAGTAAGATTTGTTTCATACTGCTTAGACCTTAAGAAGCCAAACATCCCGACAGTCTACATTACAGTCACATTTTCCCAGCACAGTCTTACATGTGTCATTTGTTTGCTTTAGGATTTCGGTTTGGCGGAGGAGTTTGCCACCAAAGCACTGGAGCTGAAAGCCAAATCATATGAGGCTTTTTACGCTCGAGCCCGGGCCAAGCGGAGCCGCAGGTAATGCCAGTAACCATCACTAGGCTATTGGGTAACAAGACAAAAGGATTATGATGCAGATATACAGAGATGTTTATCCTCAAGCTCTTCTATTGCTATGTTTACTTATGAGCCCGTTTAAAATGTGTATTGTGTGTTGAAGACAAACACAAAATGATCCAGTTCACACAGACTGGGAAAGCATCATCTGAATATTCAATATTTGGCTGATACAAATGTCTGGGCAACTCAACAACATCCAATACACAATTCATACAGCAAAACACATTGTGCCTATTATAACTATCTATTTATTTTGCTTTAATTAACCAGTTTTTTAATTTTTATTTATTCATTTATTTGATATGGACTCACCTGTTTTGTTAGACAGATCAGATGAACTGTATTTATAGGAGGCTTTTACAACATAAATGCACACATTTGAAATTTTAAAATATAAAGATAATTAAATGTACAATTCATTCAACATGTGAACTACGTTTTAGCCACAGTTTCAGACGTCTGATAAAGATGTTTAAGTCTGTTTGCTCCCTCACCTCCTTCCCTTTGTTTAAGACCGCTGTGTTGCAGCACTTTAAAACTGCCTGTAATTGCTTTTGATGTGTCTTCTGTTGTATTATGTCTCTGCTGTGTTAAGTTGTATTCTCCATCTGTATTATAATGTACTTATTTTGTATTGTACTTTACTGTAGTTTTAAGGGGGAGTGGGTAACCTCTGAGAGCTGAGTGTGTGTGTGTGTGTGTGTGTTGAGCTTTTTTCCTGTTTTATTTTATTTTTGTGTTTGTTTTAATGTAATTATTTTGTTTTGTTTTGTAATGTTTGTTTGTTTTGTAATTGACTGTTGCTGCTCCACTGTTATTTTTGAATTTGATTTTGAGGACCCCCTCGGAAACTTGATGATTCATCTCAAAGGGCTATTCCTCTTAATAATAAACGTTAATAAGGTTTGTAGTTTTAGGTCAGTGGGAAGTGCATTCCTCAGTCTGGCTCCATTAGAGGAAAATCTGGACGGTCCAAAAGATGTTCAGAACTTAGGAACCATACCGTCCCCACTGACTCTGGTGTTAGGTATTTGAGAGCCTTGACCTTAAATTAACCTGGCCAACAGACAGCAAAGTTATAAATAGTACAGATTGTTATTTTAACATTAAGATATTGCAAGGTACTTATTTCTTGACTTAATTATAGGTCAATCGCAGTTACTGCTATATACAACATGTTATATTATATGGTAAAAGCTGGTTAAATAATATTTCCTTTGCTTCTCAGGCAGTACCACGCTGCGCTGGAGGACCTGCTGGAGGCCAGTCGTCTCTGCCCATCAAACCGCGAGATCCAGAGGCTGCTGTCCAGGGTCAAAGAGGAGTGTCGTCAGGCGGCGCAGCAGCAGGACCCCTCTGCTGCCCCTCCCCCACACATTTACCAACAGAATGTGACCCACGACGAGGACGATCAGGATACCGACCACATTGAGGTCGGCATCCAGAGTCTGGACAGTCACACGACACCATCTCCAAACTCTCTCTCTCCATCGCACATGTACCACCACGTCTCGAGCCCCGCCCACTCGCCTTCCTCTTCCTCACCGAGCCACACCCACCATTTCAGCCCCGCCTCCTCGCCGGTCCACCAGCAGAGAGTCAACCCCTTGTCGGAAAACCAGCCTCAGTCCATGATAGCGATGCATCACCCCGAGCAGCATCTGCAGAACCAGAGGTCTTTTCAGAAGGAGAACACGGTCCAAGGCCAGTGGCTTCAACCGGCCAAGGCTCAACTGGTCCGGTCCAGCCAGCCCAGCGCCGCGGCCCACTCCAATATGGTCTTTGGGGGTTCCGCCTACTCCCAGTTTGCCCACTTGCCTAAGGAATTGGCAGAACTTGGCGAAGGTTTTCAGATTCAGACCGCTTTGTCTTACCAAGATGACATGGAGAGCCAGGCCAGAGCTGCAGCAGGTTACGGCCGCGGCATCAATCGCTACAGCCAGGGCGCACAGTTTGGTCGGAACCAGTCCAAAGCTGCGTATTACCCCATGGAAGTGACTGAGACTTCTAATCTAGGTCAACCTGATAAGTTCAATGATTACCAGTACCAATCACAAGGCGGGCTACGTCGACCTCTTAGCGCACACCCAACCGCCTCCTCCGCAGTCCCCTCCAACAGGCCGCTCATACACTCGCAAAGCGTCAACGTGCGCAGCCTAGCGGGGCAGCTACCTCCACCAAATCTATCCACTTTCCGGACTTCAGCCTCTGCCCAGCATGTGGAGTTGCCGCCAGACCCGCCTCTTTTCACCGGAAGTTACCACGACAATTTATTTTTAGGATCAAACCCTCAATCTGATTTGGGAATGGAAGGAGGTGGTACTTATCCCGGGGAGGCAGGACGTACCGCCAGAAACACTCCTTTTATGGGCATTATAGACAAGACCGCAAGGGTACAGCCACAATACCAGCCGCAAACCCCGCCTTCTTCCTGTCTCAGTCCGTCGCGCTCTTGGGCTGTTTCCTCCGTAGACTCTGTGGTGACGTCGCCGAGCAAATCCGCGCCCACTCAGCCGTTCCCCTCGTCCATCGCGTACCATAACCGGAGCAACAACAACACGCACAACGGCCATTACTACGACAACCAAAATGACTACTATGAAGTTACACCCGCGAAGGTAGAAAACCCGGTCCAAATAGTAAGTCAGAACCCGTCGTACGTGGATGTCCGGCTCGCCCGCACGATGCCGGTGATCCACAGCTGCTCGGACCGGCCCACCGAGTGCATCATGGGCCCTACCTCTCCTGTCAAACCAAAAAGACCCTTTGCCGAGTCTAATGTATAGATACAGCTATAGTATAGTCACTTTGGAAGGAATTTAGTCTGACGAAGCTTGAAAAAAAATGCAATGCTTTGAATAAATGTCACAGAAGATGAAGGAGCGATGCAATAATTGTACAGACATTTTTACTTGCGGTGAAAAAAAAAAAAAGGAAAAATCATGAAATATTTGTCTGTTATGAAAGGCCCTGTTCAGTTTGTCTAGCTTTGTTAAGACGACGGTTACTTGATGGGACTCCTTTTTCTTTTATTACCCTATAATTATTAGAAATTGTCGACCTAAAATCATTTGTTTCTGGGTATTTTACAACAATTGGGGGTTGAGACAGCACACGATGTCACAAAGCACAAAACAAGCGTCCCAGAAGGAAGAAGCAAACCCAGAACTTCCAACTTCTAAAGAGCTTTTTTTGCGTTTCCATGAGGCTTTTAAAACACACTTTAGTCCCATCCTTTTGAGGACAGGTTATGGAGTTGTTGAGTAAAAGCACTGACTTACTGTATATAGAAGAGTAAGTGTTATTTATCTTTTTAAGTTAAGTATGTGACAATTTCTTATAATGTAATGTATATTATATTTTATTTCTTTATGTGTTTTTTTTATATATATATATTTTTATTTCCGCAGTACCAATACTCAAACACTCAGTGCTTGCTTCGGTCCGAACGCCTTTCACAAACACTGCTCTTCAGGGTTTTTTTGTACAATCTTTTATACTTTGCATTGCTAATTTATGCAACGGCCAGCTAGACCACACCATTTACACGCGTTGCCATAGCGACGTCAGCTTTCGTTCCCAGGAGGGACGACTGACGGATGGGGTTAACATTGTCGCGCATATATTTTCACAGATGCATGTTTCGGTCCTTTCGTTTTGTTCAGCTGCTTTTGGACAAGGTTTATAATAATAATATTACAAATACAAGATACTGTTTACAGAATCCACTGCACTCCAGGTTTGAAGTTGTGATCTGTTTTGTTGAAAAGGCCTTTTGCTAAATCACATTATCAGCATGTTGGATGTTCAAAGAGTTGTGGAAAAAAAGATTAAATTGATTTCTTTGGCTGATTTAAGTACGTGCATTTTATTTTATGCTTTACAAAGAATACAGAGCAGCGATTATGAAATTCGGCTAATCCAAGTAGTCCTCTGATATAAGGCCTGGTAACCATTCAAACTGAATACCACATGCAATATTACGGACAAAACATAAATACAAAAAAATAAAAACATTGAAACACTCTGATGCAGAGGCGTAACACTCATCACATTAATTCCACTCAAATAAACAGTACATCTATGCAGGGGGACTATCGCCGAGACCAGAATAATTTATGGATAATCTCTGTGTCTGGGTGTGTAGTTACATTTGTCGTATTTTTGTAAACTTCTACAAAGAAAGACCCGTTGTTAGAGTGAAGTACATGTCAGAAAGAAAACTAAATCTCATCCGATAGAGTAGTGCAACTTAAAATACACACATGGCCACTCAGACTGGGGAAAATAACACACAACCTCATGAAGTACATAACCAAACATATTCCACTGGATTGAGAGTATCTGAAAAGTTACTCATATAAATATATTGGCTTATAACTGGTTCTAAGATTTAAGGCAGGTACAATATGCAACAGCAGCAGTATTATTTTGGCAACACAAAACATTGAGATAACAGACAGTACTCATTCACTTCCCCTCCTGATTCGGAAAACAGTACCATTGATAACAATCTGAGGCTAATTATCGGACACAAATCGTCGTCAGATAAACCCTCAAACTATAATTTTCAGTGAATCTAAATGAACGAGTTGATTTGAGATTACCATGGTGCAGTGGGGTTAGGGCGTAGGTGAGGAGGCGCCCTCTGTCAGGGTCTTGAAGTGCACAGACAGGGCCTCCTCCTCTGGGTTTGGGGGGCGTCTGTATTCCTCATTAGTCAGAATAAAGATGAGCAGGACCCCAAAGCACACCAACACCACTCCCAGACAGTTCGCAAGCACGCCCTCTGCTGGCAGCTGAGAGTACGTCCCCCTGTCAGAAAATGGATGAAGAAGTAAGAATGATATTGTCACAGTGAAATCTATGAACCGAGTCATGGATTAATCTTGGTCATGTGTATATAACCTATTGGCATTTTTACTGGTTGCTGTCAAGTACAAAATATAAAGAGTTAAATACTAATAATTATAATAAAATCAAACATAAATATATATACTATTGATTCCTATCTTCACTTGACATGGCTCAGTACCAGTTTAAATCAAAATAACAAATGACCGTTTAGAAAAAAAACTTTCAAATGTACAGTATTCCCTGGGTTTAATAGTTTTTTACACTAAATGATTCTACCAGATGGTTGTTGTTTAATACTGTTCGTGTCTTAAGGAAAAAATGATCAATAATATTTGTATAAGAGCGTACTGGCCGATAATGAAAACTGGGGTATCTAACTTTCAGTATGTAATGTCATAAAAAAAGAGAGTTCATTATAAAATCCACGTCATCAGTTCCTCACACTCAAAACACTTGGGTTCCATTCCTAGACTACAAAAAGTGATGAAAAATAAGTGAAAAATTGCTCAAATTTGGCTAAATGTATCTTATATTGAGCACACTGTGACTGCCTTATAACAAGATTTGCCAATGGGACAGGGAAAACTATCTTTTTAAGTGAGTTCCTTCGCCTGTGTGACTATTGTGTTTATGTGAGAGTTCTCCAGCCTCAGACCGAGACAAATACGTACATGATGCTGAAGAGCAGTTTCTCTGTGATGCCCAGCAGACAGCTCCCGATGGACATCACCAGCAGCATCACTCCACAGAACACATGCAAGGGGAGGTACATGGCCCGTAACCATGCCGACGCCACAGGAAACATGAAAAACATCAGACCGAGCACCCACTGGGGTCACACAGAGGGCATTAGAGCAATAAAGATTAGAGGTACTTTATCCACCACTCACCTGTACGCAGAAGAGCACCAGCGTGGCCAGGCCGCACCAGCTGTGCAGAGAGTACATGTCCGGGATCTTTGCAGCTTTGTGGAAGTCAAACACTGCCACGATACCTGTCGCAAAAGGACACTGAGGAGGCAAATTCTTACACCTGTAACCCGGTCTATTTTTGAGTTTTTCCAGATAGAACAAAAGAAAACAAAGTTCTTTAAATGTCCATAAGAACAGAGATGTCATCACTTGAGATATTAATGACACCGATGCTAAAGACATTGAAACAGCAATGTGGGAGCAAAGACGTTCAGTTCTTGAGATAATAATGTTTATAATTAGAATTCATTTTATTTCGTGACATCTTTCAAGACACCCAAGGAGGCCTTATAATAGATTACAAACACTACACACAATATAATAAAAGGTAGGTTTTTAGATTTGAACATGTTTAGCTGTATTACAGACATTACAGAGGTCCAACGTCCAAAACATGCAGGTCAGATTCCACACCTGCACACTACTCCAAGTACAAGCACAGAATGCACCTGCTAAAGCAGGGCTACCTAACTTTGCTTGTCCTGATACATGCTGTTTGTCCCAGTAGAAAGATTCTTGCAAAAATGACATGTTTGAGAACAAATTCAATTCAATTCAATTCAATGTATTTTTGTAAGCACTAAATCACAACAGTTATATTGAAGGACTGTACAGTAAGTACTGTAAGTTCTCTGATGTGTGTTGTTTTTGTAATTAAGAGCCCTGTGAGTCCCTAATTGACACTTTGGGCTGAGATCTGAGGGTGGTCCTGTCTTTATAACTATTCTGAAAAATCTTATCTAAAGATGTGACCGTTGTATCAGCACGGCACAGTGGTGCTTGTGCTTCCTGGGTTCAATTCTTTGCATGCTCTCCCCATGTCTGTGTAAGTGTCCTCTGGGTGCTCTGGTTTCCCCAAACACTAAACCACAAACAAGAAGGAAAAAGGCCACAAGGAAGGAATAAAATCCATATAACCACAGGATTTGGTTCTAAGGAGTTTGGGTAACATTTGGGTTTGAAAGTTAGGTACCCCAGCTTTAAGAGGAGATACAGGTGTTGATATTTTACTTTGGATCAAAAGAGTATCAGGCTTATAAATAATCATGAATATTCAGATCACAATAGAATCGTACGTTTTAGAAGAGAGAATGTGTATGTCTATTCTCCATGACCCAACATTTCACTGTTTTTGCTTTGAACTGTTTTTGATTTTAACTGTTTTGATTTACCCTTTGTAAAGCGACCTTGAATAGAAAGGCGCCATATACATAAAATGTATGATTATAATAGCACATAGCATTTGATTCACATCAGAGGGAAAGTAAGTTTTCCCATATGTAAATGTTATCTTGTTTTTTCCTCCTATATTTGTTTTGAAAAAATCTTCAAGCACTTGACACATTGCTTGAAGATGCAGTATAGTACTCGTCTTACCAACGACGCTGATAATAAGTGCAAACAGGTGAATGATCCCATGCAGCATTTTCACATTCCTCTTGGACTCGTTCCGGAACACTCTGTACACCAACACCGCTGGAAAAACACACACAGGTGAATGGTCAAAGATCTGCGACAAGAATGTCCCTCGTTCCTTGTTCCCTTCAGGCTTCAGTCCACATATGAGGACTTTTAGTTTCAACTTTAAGAAGCTTTCAAGAAGTTAAGAATCTCAACACAAACTCCACATATTTACTCTGTCCAACAGGCTCAGCCTCAAACCTGCTCAACTTCTCCAACAGTTAAGAAAACATATCTGTAAATATTTGCAATTAGTTGTTCAGGTTTTTTCTCCCATTGACTCATTTTTACTCATGAATATAATAGTTACCCCAACATTCTTTAAAACAATTAAAAATACTGTATTAAAAGTAAGAGATAAGCAAATAAATGTTATTGAAAAAGCATACCAAAGAAAATCTGTTTTGGATTTTTTTTTAAAACACCTTTTTGAATGTCTTTGTGAGATTTAAAGCAGCAGTATGTACAAATCTGGCCAAAAGTGATACTGAAACCTTTCCCACTCTCCCTGACTCAGGTTGCCAGATATGCAGACAAATCCAGCTGGGACCATAATAATAATGACTGAATAGACAATAATAACCAACACCTTTTTCACAAAGACATCCCAGATAGAAATCCTGGTTTTATTCCTTGATTTTTCATTAATGATTTGAGAACCTTTTTTAGTTCTGCGGCCACAGATGCAACCCGAATCACGGACTTTCCGATTGGTCAAACAATGGAGGGCGGGAAATCAAAATGAAAACAACGACAAGATTTAGGGCTGTAAAACTATTTTTGAAATTCCAATACCTCGGCTGAACTACTTTTATCAGTTAAAGAAGTATTCAAAAAGATCAGTTTTTATTAATGCCTTTTGACAAATTAGGGCCATTTAATGCTGACTTGACATGACAATCTTACTGTATATATTGGTACTTTTGGCAATTTTTAAAACTATTTTATTCTTTTGACAGGTGGTCGTCTGCCTTCACCTACAAACAACTTTAAATATACAACAACAAAAAACACTTCAGTATCACGACAAATGGTATTCTGATGCTATATCTTCTAAAAACAACAGCAGCAGCAGCAGTCTGTAATCCCACCTCCAGCTGCAGGTGACCTCACATGGCTCGGTTAAACAGGACGAGTGCCACAGGGAGATGGATGCGCTCACTTGCAGCTGGGGGAGGGTGGTATTGGCTTTGGCGCGTGGAACTGGCTCCCCTGGGCGTTTCTGTCTCTGTCTGCTCCAAACCACCAGATGACCTTTAGCTTTTATTGGAGTAATTCAGCGTAATCCTGTAAACGGCAGCTGTAGCGGGACGAGCGGTTGGGATAATTGTGTTACTTCTATTTGCGCAAACGCGGAGCGCTGCAGGTGTCGGTTCCTCTTCATATTACGACTATATATATATGTTTTACAGCTGCCAGAACCATCAAAAATCAGCCTTTAATAAAAACTGATTTGATTTTTCTAGTACTAATGTATACTTTGGACATTTATATATTAGTCCTAAATTAATCCTATGTTTGCATTTTGATCTAATTCAGAACTAATTCAGTATAAATCTATAAAAAGTGGTAAAGTAATAAAAATGGGCGGACAAAACGACAATAAACGAAAATGAAATGAAATGAAATTGCGCGAAGGTGAAGCTGATGTGTAGCGCTGAATCCAGGACATACTACAACATGCAAGAAATATTCAAAACTAAACTTTTACGACAAGAGAACGGCTTTGTTATGATGCAAAACCTGTACCCAAAATGATGAAGACTGTGTTAAAGCCAATTCTGAATTTTTTTCCCCCTTGTAAATATATATATCTTGACGCTAAACCATTCAATGTGCCTGTATCTCCTTTGCTATAAGACTTGAGCTTCAGACGGTGAAATGGCTGTGATCTGAGAGATACTGGTGCATTGTGGGACGATCTGGACACTGTTGACTTAATGCAACAAGTCATTCGCCCGCGGCTGGGGCAGAGTCCTGCCGATCACCGCCACAGTTTGAATCCTGAACCAGAAACAGCTCTTCTTTAATACTATAACACTGTCCTCAGGCGTTCTCGAGCTGAAACAACTATGGCATTTTACATGATCAATCTTTTTAAGAGAATCCTTTTAGTTTACTCAAACATTTGGTAGAGACATTTTTGAGTCACTATATCTATTAGAATCTTGGGACTGAAATCTACCATCAAACTGCATCTCAACAATTTGGGAAAGACCAATAATTAAATAAAACTAGGGATTAATTAATACAAAAATAAAACAAATTATTATTATTAGTGCTCCTACATCTTAGAAAATCCAAAAAAAAGATCATAATCCGTGCCGCTTTCTCCAGAGAGTGAACATTAAAGGGTGAATGGGGTCTACGGTGTCTCAGTTTTTCCAACTCTTTAAATGTATTGACTATTTGAGGACATTTTCAAATATCTATATTCACAACAACCGGAAGGGGGAGTTGCTGTTTTTAATCTTCCTTTGCATCAGGTTCACTCAAGGTTTTTTATTTATTCTGTTATATTTGTGGTCTTCAGAAATGACAGGGTCTTTCACCAGAGCTGGTAATATACTTTTGACACTATGAAAGTCAGTCTAGGTTGTGTGTCTTGGAGGTCATAAGAATTTTTTGGTAAGTGTGTGTGTGTGTGTGTGTGTGTGTGTGTGTGTGTGTGTGTGTGTGTGTGTGTGTGTGTGTGTGTGTGTGTGTGTGTGTGTGTGTGTGTGTGTGTGTGGGTGTGTTCCTGTTTGTATGTGGTTTTATATGGTGTTATTTGAGACCGTCTTTTGTTTGTTTTCTCTTTTGTTCTGCCATTTTGATTTTGTTTAGTTCCAATCAATTCATTCTTATGTAACCCTAATTCAGAACCGCAGTCGTCTTGGAGGACTTTACAAAGCTCTCAATTCGCCAACAACACTCCAGAGAATCAAATATTGAGCAAAGGAAATTAATAAAGCAAACACATAGGAGCCATGATGCATAGAGCAAGATCACAAATGTCCATAAACGTGCAATAATGTAGTATGCTCTTTTACTGGGTTGATAAAGTCATTGGCATTACATGAATATGGTTGTACAATTGAACCTATGATCTGTAGGCACATATAAAAAAGTCGATCAAAAATTAGGTCCCTTTAAGCTTGAGTCAATATTAGCCCTTTTTGTCCTTTTTCTATCCTTTCACTGGAACCTTTGCTATCTTCATAATGCTACTTCTGAGGACTTTTTGAATAAACTATTAAGGTTTTGTATCTACCCCAACTTGCCCCCAACTTTTGTATTGTATGTTGTCATTTCTTATGTGTTTTTCCTGCCAAGGGACGACGGATGAAAACTAGCTCGGTAGCTATAATCCGGCATATTTACAATTGTTTTATACTGATGTTCATTAATGTGCATTGTCCCTGTATATTCACATTTGCTTTTCAAAAATGTGAATATGAAAAAATGCTAGTGTTTACCATCTCCCTGCAGGAACACCAGTCCAAGGACCATGCAGAGGGGGTGAAGGTTGAACTGCAGCGCTGAGCCGTCCCACGCAAAGCCCCCCCTGTAGCGGCCCATCCACACCCCGGTCAGGACCACGGCCGCCAGCCCCAGGACCTGGGACCCTCCGACCAGGCACGACAGCAGGGAGCGGCGAGAGGAGGGGGCGCACTCATCCATGCTCTGAAACACATTTGGAAGTGGGATGTTGACTTCATGTCCCCTCACAGAAGTGCTTTTGTGAAGGGACTATATCTGTCTTAACTTCAGAACTGGAAAACAATGTGGCCCTGAAAACTGAGAATAAAGATTGAGAAAATGTGACAAAACTTGTTTGAACTTGACATCATTCGAAACAAAGGATTGGCCATAAATGTGAAGTGACTTTGATTGTCCAAAAGAGTGCTTTATAAAACCCATGCATATTATCATTATTATTTTTGTAATTATTATTAATAAATTACTTTTGGTATTATCTCATGTGAAACCATGATGATTTGATGCCGGTAATTTTCAACTTAAAAAAAAAAACTAAAACAATGTTGCACCTCTTCCGGGTGGTAGCACCAGGGAAAGGCCCCAGAGCATTATTTACCCTAAATACTTGTGCCAGCATATATTTTCTACCAAGGATGATATTTCAGATTCTTAAAGATGAAGTGACAAAGTAAATAGTCTCATTATCATTTCAAATGGCCAATAATAATGCGTAATATTCCTTCTTTAATTTATATTTCATGTATTCATTGTTTATTTGGTACAGTACATGTTAATGAACACATCACTCCGGATTGTAGCCATGGGCTAACTTGCATACTTTGTCCCACATTCACACTCATTCACCCTGAACTATTGTACATGTTTTTAGTGGTAGGGGAAAACGGAGTAATCGGAGGAAACCTACACAGGCAGACCATGCAAACTCCACTCAGAAAGGCACTGTTCCGAACAGGTTTTGAACCCAGAACCTTCCTGCTGAGAAGCGAGAGTGCTACCCACTCAGCCACCATGCTGCCCATTCATCTAATTGCTCCAAACATTTTCCCATTTAAATCATATATTTTGTTGACCAAAACCAAATGGAAATTCAGTGATTGCCTAATTGACCGCACGACCAAAGACCAACAAACCTAAAAAGAACTGTATTTTCCCCAGTGCAGTGTCAGGAAAAAGAAATAATAAACATAAGACGGAAGCAAATAATTTGCCATTGAAATCATGCAACTCTCAAAGGCTCGAATTCACAGGTGGCCTTCAAAACATTCTCTTGTTCTGCAAATATTTGACATGTAAGGTTAAAATCTCACGTTACAGGCCTGCGGTCCAATACAATATCTTATTAATCATAACTAAACTGAAATATTACCTATACATATGCTTCAAAAACTCATTTAATTAACAAATAAATTACATGTCAGTTAAAACTACTAATATGGCAAAACTACTAATATGGCAACTTTATAGAATAAAATAACAACAACTAAAGAGAAGGTTGAACATTTCTTTCTGTTACAACCATCACTATTTAAATGTAAAAAAAACATCCATGTTTTTATCGGTTTTAGTGCAAATTATAGAGCGATTTTGGACCAATTTTGAGTGTCTTGCCCAGCGGCACAATGTCAGGTTTAATGCAATACGCCTTGTCAAGGAGGATCCCCCCAAACTGTCACGACTCCAACCTGTGCACTTTGGAAATAATAGTCTAAAAAGAGTCCATGAAAAGACGCAAAAGTCATTCCCTTCATTAAAATCAACCATGTTTGTTTTTCACCAATATTATTTTACCGCCAGTCACCTGTTGTCTAACGTGCCTAATACTTGACATTAGAAAATACATAATAAAGCATATAATTTCGCACTTACCATCGGGTTGAGGCAAAGTCAGACTCGCCTATGCCTGAATGAAGCGTGTATGTTTTGGATATCCTCCTTCTCTGTATAGTCCCACCCACGTGACAGACAGAAAGCAAACACAAAAAGAGAGAGAGAGAGAGAGAGTGATAAAAAAAAATAATAACAGAAAGCCTATTCACACACAGACATTTAACTATACCGTCTCCGTTTCTGCTGGAGTAAAACCAAAACTGGTCCGTGCAGTACTTTACATGCAGAAGAGCGCCTGCATGGGGTCCACTCCAGCGTATACGTCACCAGAGCGTCAGGATGAGGCTCTTTCGGGGTGGGCTGATGGTGACTAACATCTCCAGACTCCAGAGGTAAAGGTGGGTTCCCATGACAACCAGAGGAATAGAGGGAGGGAGGGAGGGAGGGAGGGATGGAGGGGGTTGATACTGAAGATGGACTGCTAATTAAAGAGGGCGGGGTCAATTAGGAATATGAACCACAACGAGCGTAGATGAATATAGACCGACTTATCATTGCGTCACTGAAGTCGCATCCTCAACGGGCAATTCTCACACTCACAATCCACAACGATGTCTTTCCAAAGGTGCACTCAAGCATGCTCTTTTAATAGAGGAGTTTACCTGGCTAAAGGGAAAAGAATTAATAAATACTACTACTACTACTACTATACTACTACTACTACTACTAATAATAATAATAAACACCAGGCGAGATGATTAGATTATACTTTAATAGTTAATACAAATTATTCCTGCCTGTTTTATAGTTGCAATACAGCTTCATTCATTAACATTTCAAGTTACTCTGTTTTGATTTAGATTACGCACCATAAAGGCTTTAGACAACCCCGTAATACTATAGTCTATTCTGAGAATATTTTTCACACGAAATTCTTATATTGTGATATTTGGTGAGCCTAACTCCAGAATGTAGTACTGGTAGAGATTGGAATTAGAGTCATGTGTTTCCTCCGTTGTAGTAACTTCATTAAAGCTTTACTGCTGTCATCCAGGCGCTCTGAGGCATGGTGTCATATCTTTACTGACCACTAGGGGGAGCTGGAATCTTGGCCATCTCTACTACTCTGCTGGTACACCATGGTACACTGCCTTAACATCATCTCTCGCTCATAAATACTTCGGAACTTTTTCTCGCTCTCTTAAAGTCTTAAGTCAGCGTCAGAAAATATGACTTTAATTCTGTTCCACTGCAGAGCTCCCACACGAAGCCTGTCTGCAGAGTTGAATAATAGTGTGCAGTTTCAAGAGGCAGCAAAATGGCAGTGATAAATTGTTTGTGCCTAGCGAGTGTTCCAAATATAACTGGGAGGTTGGAGAGAGAAAGCCTGGCTGTGTTCGTCTGTATCACATTTTGTGTTTTTGTGTGAATTGTTGGAGTGAGAGTGCAGCTTTTTTGGGTCTGACATTTGTGATGTGCGTGGTGACTCAGAGGCTGACGCACCACTGCCCCTGCTCTGTTGTGTCCGCATTTACTTTCGGTACAATAAAACAAGCTTTGTGCAGGGATCCTGAAATATATTCCGAGTCTTTCAAACTTCATCAGATTCACTTTGTCAATAGGATAGACCTTAAACTCAACAGACAGCAGCGACTGCAAAAGCCACCAGTTTTCAAAGCCCAATGGCCTAATGTGACATAACCTGTTGCATCGCGGCCAGTAATAATGACATAACCTATAATTGTTTCACCTGTTGTTATTATTTTTACCAACATTATTTCTATGGACTCATGGCATCAATATTGAGAAAGGGAATTCTTATTCTTATGATTATTTATTTAGTTATTTATTTCAGGGAGAACAATAACTTATTCTTGTATAGCCCTAAATCACGACAGAAGGACTTAACAAAACCATTGAAATCACCAACACAAATCAGAGAATCAACAGTTAAGACACAAAATATACACATATGAATTGCTCCATAGGGAGAGACCAATGTCCATGAATGTTGATAAATGTCCATAAATGTTGTAGAATGTTTAAGTGTCCTGGATCATCACCACAGTCCTTCTAGTTGGACTCTAACTGCCCAACAGACCCTCCTGCATCGGCAAGGAAAAACTCAGAAAAACCCAGTGTGAAAAAAAAGTGAGAAACCTTGGGGAAAGGGATCCGCTCGAACATGGACGGACAGGCTATAGATCCAGGACCTAAGCCACAGAACGTGGACCAATGCCACACAGCGGCCGCAGAGCGTGGACAGGTCTGGTGCAGGACTGAAGTACTCCCAGGCGGGTCAGGAAGGGCAATCCGTAGGTGTAGATGGATAGGGCCAGTTCAGAGGTCCCGTTGTCGCACCATGAAACAGACAATAGGACAACGGGTGAATAGCAATGAACACACTACAGTCAAAATCTTAATAATGCAGACAGGTGCAGGACTGAAGCGCTCCTAGGCGGGTCGGGCAGAGCAGTCCGCAGATGGAGGTGAAGGAGGCCAGATTCAGAGGTCCCGTTGTCGCGCCATGAAACATACAATGGGACAACGGGTGAATAGCAATGAACACACTACAGTCAAAATCTTAATAATGCAGATAGATAAAGTAGGAAGGAGGAGAGGATAGTGCTCAAGTTACCATACTTCTCCCAGCAAACTGACTCCCTATGCAGCTTGACTGACAGTCTGAGTTTTAGCCTTCCCTGAGTCCTACCTTCCTAACCATATGCTAAACTGAAGAGGACTGTTTTAAGCCTAGCCCTGAATATAGAGACTTTGTCCGAACGAAGGTGAAACAGCAACAACAACAAAGATTTGTGGATTACACACCAAGTGTGCAAACCAAACCAGACAAACAGCATAACCATGTGCTAAATTAAAGTAGAGTGTTTTAAACCTGGCCTTGAATGTGGAGACCGTACTGTATCTGCTTCCTTAACATGAATGGGAAGCTGATTCCACGATGAAGGAGCTTGGTAGCTAAATGCTCTGCCGCTGACAGTGCTTTTTGAGACCTTAGGAACCACCAGACGTCTGCGTTATGTGAGCGCAGTGCTCGGTTTGGTTGATATAACACTAACGTGTCTTGAAGATAAGAAGGAGCCAAGCCATTTCTGGCTTTGTATGTTAGGAGAAGGATTTTATTCTGGACTCCACCGGGAGCCAGTGGAGTGATTTTAACACTGGGGCTATTTGCTCCCTCCTTTTGGTTCCCGTTAAGATCCTTGCTGCTGTATTTTGAATGAGCTGGAAGCTCTATAAAGACGTTTTAGGGCCTTTTTATCTGACCCATTATGATTATTTTGATTGTCAATATTATTATTGTTATTATTTCATTTTAGTGGTAGTTCATGTTAAATAACAATGTTTGATACAAGTATTTAAAGGCATGTAACAGGCCTCTTAGCCGCTGCTCCTAGTGAAGATGAAGGTGACGCTCTTCATCTGTGTTTCATTGCTTTGACTGCAGTTAATCCACTCAAAGCCTAACAAACATGTGGACCGGACCTACTGCTTCACACACTTGTTGGACTTCTGAAAGCTCTGTTCTGTGTCACATTCTGCTGTACATTGAGCAGTGACCCAGAGCTGTGAATATGAGTAAAAACAAAACACACTCAAACATTATTACAACAATAGCCATGAGTCCAGGTGTGCAGTGTGTGTTGCTGCACGTTGGGCTCAACACAGTGGAGCATGCTTTGTTGCTATGGCAACTAAATACAAAATATAACACAAACACCATTGCCTTTTATCAAAGATCTTTTGATGTGTTTGATTCCTCATTTCTCTTGATAGCAAGATAACAAATTAGGCGAGGGGCTCATTGAACTTATAGGGTATATGGAGTCCCCAATTATATATTCTAAAAATCTGTTCCTCCACATTCAGTTGTCCCAGAATGATTTATGGCTACATGCACTGCATTGAGTAACTTTTGCTGTCCCATTTGTTTATGATGTCAAGCTCTGTGGGGAAACACCCTTGAAAGAGTTTTCAAAGAGTGTATTAAAAAAAGCTTTTGAGTTTCTTTGTATTTTTCTCTGTTAATGATCTACAGCATCATAGACTCTGCTATAGGCTTTATAGCAGATATAAAGTGTTCCCTGCCGGAGCTAAGCTATAAGCCTACATGCAGACACATGCAGACACATGCAGACACATGCAGACACATGCAGACACATGCAGACACATGCAGACACATGCAGACACATGCAGACACATGCAGACACATGCAGACACATGCAGACACATGCAGACACATACAGACACATGCAGACACATGCAGACACATGCAGACACATGCAGACACATGCAGACACATGCAGACACATGCAGACACATGCAGTCACATGCAGTCACATGCAGACACATACAGACACATGCAGACACATGCAGACACATGCAGTCACATGCAGTCACATGCAGACACATGCAGACACATGCAGACACATGCAGACACATACAGACACATACAGACCACAGAGCTACACATAGATCCATACAGACGGCCTAGAAACTTTTTTTTCTTCAATGTTCAATTTAAAACATGCAGTCCTTAAAACTCAGGAACAAAACGTACTTATCTTCTCGAGAACGGAGCGGTGATGTGTCCCCAGAACCAGGAGTGCCTTCACCTCACTCTGCTCTGCTTCTCTGAGTCATTATTGGAGGGGGCTCTGAGCCATGGCACGGGGGCCACCATTGATTGATATATAATTTACTTATATTTGAATGGAATTAGAACTGTTTTTCCTACATCATTCATGGATTTCTCTTCGCTTAAAACATATTCTTCTTGTGTCCAAGGTCCTGTGTTCGAATCCCGGGTGTAACTCTGAGTGGCGTTTGTATGTTCTCCCTGTGTCTCCTCCTGTATGTTTTCTCTGGTGCTCCGGTTTCTCTTACCACTAAAAACATATACAGTACAATAGGCCTGTATGCTCTGCATCACTCCCATCCCTGTGTGGAGTGTAAGTGAGTAAGAAAGAAATCTTTATTTAAATAGCACCTTTATATGGCCTTTCATAGACCTGAGTCAC